CTCTTCGCCTAAGTTCGGCAGTTAAGGCGGCCACCCGAGCCTGAAGGTCGGCGTTCTCGGCCGTTATCCCCTTGCTCACTTCAAGCTCATCATCCTTGGCCTTGAGTGCCGCATCAAGCCACATCGACCAATGGCCCTCATCAGCTCGTCATCCCGCTCTTTCAGCTCCTCAACCTTCTGCACCAACTCTTCCTCTTTCTGCTTAAGCCCATCGCGAAACAGCTGAAAATTGCTATCTTGAGTGAAGACATCGGCCAATGCACGGTGCTTGGTTCGGTACTCTTTGTACTTAGAGGCCACTTTCCCAAAGATGGTCGTCGTCCGTTCATCCCTCTGATCGCGCTCAATCTCCATGATGAGAGTCTGATATGTAGAGGAAAGAAAGTCGACTTAAGTACATTACGCATAAGAAACAAATCCAAAAAAGGGAAGAGTAAAAACACTTACCCGCAAAGCCATGCCGGACATACTCCGCGATAATTCCGCATCACTCATCGCCTGAAGCGCCGTGTTCTCGGAAGCAGCACACAAAGGGGCGAATGCCGACACTGCCTGCTCAGAGTTTGCCAAAAGATCGTAATCCACAGGAATGATTACGTGCCGGTTAGGACCCTCCGTCCTAACTTCCACGCAGGTATTTCTCTCCAAGAAGGCCCGCACATCTTCAGGATCGATGTCCGAACCCAAACCATCGTCCTTAGCAGGCACCACTCCACCCCCTCCGGCAGCAGATGACGCGCCACCTTCAGCAGATCGTACAGATCCCCCGCCTTGGCATGTCTCTTCGGCCCTAGGTGACCTCCCGCCAAAATGGCATCCGCCATAAAAATGGCCCCTGTGCTTGACCTGGGCGAAGACGCCACTCCCGAAGCAATGGTTTTCCTCTTTCCAACGCCGCTGGCGACGACCTTCCCAAGTTCCACCCTCCTCCTCTTTCTCGATGGCGATTCATCTCCGTTGGAAGATTCCTCTATGAGGTGGTAAGTAGGACGAGAAGAGATCTCGTCCCGTACAACAACATCCAGAGGAGGGTCCCTTGTTGGCAAAGTCTGAGTACGGCCTCTGCGGGCGGACTCGGCTATGGTAAATTGCATCCCCGCTGATGCAATGGCCTGGCGAAATGCCGGGACTGGAGCCTTCTTTTTGGAAATCCGTCGGCCTGTCACCATAAAGGGATCGTATCAATAAGCAATAGCAAACAACCGAAGGTCGGAGCAAAATTAATACTTACCAGACGGAACCTTCGGTCCGAAGCGTTTGAAGAAAGCAGCTCAGTCTCGAATCCCCACCATGTATGGTAGCACGCGAGCTACCCAATCCTCAATGCCGACGACAAGAAAGGGCGCACGCCTCTCAGCTGCACGAAAAAATCACGGATGAATAAAAAACAGAAAGAACGAAAGTAGATAACAAGCTTACGGCAACAACACCTACGGTTATAATTCCACTGCTCAAGAAATCCAGCAGGGTCCGGCACCAAGTGCTCCGTTCTGATGAAAAACTACTTGTGCCAAAACTTTCGGCTCGCCCTGTCATCCGTTCCAACTACCAACCCCCTGGTCCCGAGATGCCGCAAATGTATCATGGTACCTCTATGAAAGCTCGGGGAAAATAAATGCAAAAGGTGGCGGATGTCAACCTCACACCCAGCCAACTCCGCATACTTCGTCAGCATTAGAAAGATTTGATACAAGTACAGAGAATCAGCTGTGACATACAGACTTCATAAAACCGACAAAACTCCTCCGCCAGCGGAAGAAGAGGGAGGGTGTGACCAATCATGAAAGGATACACATAAAAAGCACCATACCCAGGTCTGTGGACCTCTACAATGTCCCTCCCAGCTAGAACCATCTCGACGTGAGGAGAAATGTGGTATGTGGACTGGAGTTCGTCTATTTGAGATAGCCCGGTTTTAGAAATCACCGGAATGGGAGAAGGTGCAGGTTCCTTATGAAAATCGCTCCTAGATGAAGGGTTTCTGGGTAGTATCTCCTCCACGGTAGGGAAACTATCACCCTCCTCAGTCGCGATATCCTCACCACCGGAAGGAGGGGCCACCGACAACGGAGTGGCATCGAAAACTTCATCGTTTGCACGAAAGGTTCAAGACATCTCGATAATAGAGGGTGTGCTAGTGAACCATAAGGGAGAGATGATGACTAAACAGGAAGATGGTAAGCAGAATCACAGAAATGAAGCTAAGAAACTGAGAAAGATTATCAAAGGAGAATAATGTACATACAAGGAAGGAGATGGCAAAATTTTCTATAAGAAACGAAACCCTCACCTATTTATAGGGATGGGTGGCGCGAGAGTCGAAGCAGAGAACTGTCGATGGCGCTAAAACCAAAGCGATAAGCACACAGACGCTGTCTCGGGAAGATGCGTAATGATGACGTGCATAGTGGTGACGTCACATTTTGATAATCACACCAACTAGGGTTCCGTAAGCTGTGTCGTTCTCTCGATCTTAGTCAACCCAATGCAATCTAATAGCCAAATTCTCCCATCACTGAAACGAATGATGTCCGCTTACCGAGGACGTGCGGGGCTACGACCTCGACAAGCGGAGGGACTAAGTGTATAGGTCCAAATTTGGTAGCCATGATAACAGATTAAGCAAAACATAGGATGAGGTTGACCACGACACAAAGACTGACGGCCGTCCAAATGAAGGCGGACGACTAGATGTGGACATGTGATATAGGATAGTAACGGTAACTTAAACTTAGAAATAGACAGGAAGAATATTCCTTTGGATATTCTTTATGTTGTACTTTTTAGGGTTTTTTGGGGAATACCCTTATATATAGGAGGAGATGGGGAACAAATGGGGATCTGCCCTTTTTGAGAATTGAGACATATTGTAAAGTCGAGAGAAGAATATACAAAAGAGTTATTTTATTCTCTTTATTCAAGCACATGTTATTCAATCTTTATCCACAAATTTCAAGATCCCATAACTGAGATTGATTACTTACTTTTCCACGTCGTCAGAGAAAGAGAACCCAATCATACAATCATTGGGTGACGATTCCTTTATACTACAACCCTTAGCATTCTCACATTTATTATACATTTATGATATTACATGTCATGCCATTCATAGCATATTAAATTCGCTATTTACTGTTCTCAGCTCTAACTCGTCATACAAGAACTCTATTTTGTTTGATCTAGGATTTATTAAGTTCTAGTGAGATTCACCCTATTAATTTATCCTTGATTGATTTGGTAATTATTTGCTAAAAGACTTTTTAATAAGGCATGCGAAATGCAAATTCAAATTAGTCAAGTGAATAGATACGTTAAACGAAATAGTAACTACTCTTGAGATAATATATTTAGTCAATTTAAGTGAAGATAAACTTTGACTTAGCTTACTTCCCTTTCACTTCAATTTGGACTAAATAATTCCAAGGAGAAAAGCTTTTAATAATATGGTTGTGGTCTGATATTGCGCGTGACTATCTCCGCTATAAAAAGAATTTTTTTTTTTTGTAAAGCAACTACTAGAACTAAGTAGGTTTTTTACATATGTATCAACGACTTTTATTAGCTGTAGCAAAAACGAAATAATTTATTGCATTTTCTCCTAAATTTTCTAGTTAAATTATTTTATTATTCAATAATGAGCCACTAGAACTATGTATTTATAGCATGCACTTATGCACATACACTTATATAAAAAAAATTCCAAAGAAAAAAAAGAAAATTAAGAGTATGCGTGCTCATTTCACACCTAATAAAAATGTAGAGGGAATGATTATATACTCCACGAGACTTGGCGTCATACTTACTAAAAATGGAAGCAATGATGAAAACAGTGTATTTCTGTCTGATGTAATATGTTCAAAGTTTAATGCGAAAACGTTATCTACTCCAATATTCTCATTGTACTCTGGCAATGTCATCATTATTACAATTTAATTTGACCAAAGAATGACCATAGAAAATCAATAAATATTATAGTTGGAGATTAATTGAAATATCTTTACATTAATTCGTATGCCCTTCTCATACCTAGGACGCGCACAACTGCAAGTTTTGTTTTTAGTTGATCTTTATAATTACATAATATGGATTTTTGATATATATATATATATATATATATATATATATATATATATATATATATATATATATAGTCACATAAATTTTAAATTAAGGATGAGCTAAGCGTTAACATTGTTTTGGAAAATGCAGAAAGAAAAGGAAGAAAATAAGAAGCTGCACAAAATTTTCATTTCTCTAATTAACAAAAAAATAAAAAACTATATATGCTAACTGTTTATTTTCACATTAATTATCAGTGTATTTTAATATGTTATAATATGTTATTTACTTCATTTTTCATATCACCACATCTGACTTGATATTAGTAATTATCTTAATACCCGTCATTTCACAAAAAATTACACCAAAAAAGAAAACAGAAAAACAGAAAAACCAACAGGGAGGCATTGAGACAATTTCGGTGGCTGTAAATTCTGAATCTCGTAGTTACAATATTAGCTTCTACTATATTTTAGTATCCTCTTAAAATATCATCTGTATTGATAATTGGAATTTAGCTCGAAAAACTACAAAATGACACAGAGCTCTACACATTCTGGTTACAAGCAGCATACAGCCAATTCTACATATATACAAATACATATTTTAAAAAGTACGTATTCCTTTAAAAATTAAATATCTTATGATAGAGAACCTTGTATCCTTGAACAACGGTAAAATTATTTTCGCGTGGCCTTAGTGAGACCTCTAGACCTAGAGGTCACGAGTTTGAGCCATGGAAACAGTCATTAATATTTGCATTAAGATAGACTATTTGCATTATCACATCTCTTGAGTTGCGACTCTTCCTTATACCCTACGTAAATACGAGATACTTTAGGCACCGGATTGCTTTTTTTAGACAGAGAGAGAGATCAAAACAAAAAGGTGGCCCAGCAGCTAAATCTATGGCTGACCGACTTTGAAATATAACAACATAAAAATGAAAGGACATTGAAGAAGAAAAATTGCAAGAGAGAGAAATTAGAGAGAGAAGTGTGTTTTTTCTGTGTGTGTGTGTTGGTTAGAAAAAGAAAGGAAATATTCTCTTTTGCTTTCATGGTCTTTTTTTGGTGTTTTCTTTTTAAATCACACAAACTTTTCTCCAGCTAATCTCTCCTCTTCAGAAATCTTAGCTGTGATACAAAGCCAAGAAAACCTTCACGCAAGTTTGAAATAAGTCTTAGGTTCTTTGTTTTTTCTTGGTGTTTTAAAGATTCAAAAGTTAGTGTTTTTGTTTGTTGTTTGGCTTTACACTTAGCTTATTCTTACTTTTGTTCTTTTGGAACAATCTGAAACTTCTGAGATTTGAATAATACCAAGTTTTTTTTTATCTGTTTGTATTTGGAAAAAAACTTAAACTCTTTGAGTTAGCTTTGTTTTTTAGCTCCACTGCTTCTTTAGTTGCCAAAAACAAAAACCCTTTATATCAAATGATGTCTGGTGATGTTTTTTCAATTCCTTCTTCTGTCAAAGGTGTAGCACTACCTCATCATCCTCAAGATGTATTACTTGAACCAAACCCTAACCCTAAAGCTAATTCTTCTTCCAAGAAAAGAAGAAATCTTCCAGGTACACCAGGTATACAAATTAACTATTCATTTACAATAACATATATATATATATATATATATATATATATATATATATATATATATATATATATATATATATATATAGTCTCTTGCAGAAAGGCAGGGTAATACTGCGTATAATAGACTCTTGTAGTCCGGCCCTTCCCTGAACGCCGGGCATAGCGGGAGCTTAGTGCATCGGGCTGCCGATGTTCTTGTTATAGTACATGACCAAGAGCTTTTTTTTCTTTTTATGTTGACAGATCCAGATGCTGAAGTTATTGCACTATCACCAAAAACACTGATGGCTACAAATAGATTTTTATGTGAAATCTGCAACAAAGGTTTTCAAAGGGACCAAAACTTGCAACTTCATAGGAGAGGACACAATCTACCATGGAAATTGAAGCAAAGGAATAAACAAGAAATAGTGAAGAAGAAAGTATATATATGTCCAGAAAAGAGTTGTGTACACAATGATCCTTCACGTGCACTTGGAGATCTTACTGGTATAAAGAAACATTTCAGTAGAAAACATGGTGAAAAAAAATGGAAGTGTGAGAAGTGTTCAAAGAAGTATGCAGTTCAGTCAGATTGGAAAGCACATACTAAAACTTGTGGTACTAGAGAGTATAAATGTGACTGTGGAACTCTTTTTTCCAGGTAATTAATTTCCCTTAGATTGGTACTATGTAACATGTTCTTGTTTAGGAATATTTGTTTCAAACTGAAATAATTGCTAGCTCATTCATTCATAGGAATTAAGTAGTTTAATTCAATGTCTTTGTTCTGATTCAATTTATTGCCTCCTCCTGAGTTCTGAGTTCTGACCACAAATTATCAGCTATTATTGTTTGATATTCCATGCGTCTATGTGACCAGGAGGTCAAGGGTTCAAGTCGTGTAAACAAATCTATTGCAGAAATGCATATAATAGATCCTTGTGGTCCGGACCTTCTCCTGACCACGCGCATAGCGGGAGCTTAGTGCACCAGTCTGTCCTTTATTCCATGTGTCTGATATGCCTTAATTTAATGTTGGGTTTTCTGTTTTTTCTTCCATTTTACAGGAAAGATAGTTTCATTACACACAGAGCATTTTGTGATGCTTTAGCTGAAGAGAGTGCAAGAATCACTTCAGTGGGAACAAACAACTTGAACTTCAACCAGCAACCCAATTTAGTTGGTGGAATTTCCCAAATTGGGACAGGTTTTGCACAAGATTTTAGTGGTATGACAAGTGGGAGTTCTCTACATCACCAGCAACAAAAGCCAAGATTATCACTTTGGTTAAATCAAGTTAATAATAATTCCCAACTCAATAATCCTCTTCACATGTCAACACCAAGTTCAAATCTTTTTGCTTCCTCCAGTTCAACTGGAATACCAGATCATATGGTCCAAATGCAATCTCCTAATAATGTCTTTGGTAATCAAATGCAATGGGCAATTGACAAGAATACTGTAGCCACTACCCCTGCCACTTCAATGTCTGAAACCTTATCTTCTATGTATTCTGATAATCAAAATCAACACCCAAAATCTTCAACACCAATGTCAGCTACTGCACTTCTTCAAAAAGCTGCCCAAATAGGTTCTACCAAAAGCAACCCAACTTTCTTTACAAACACTTTTGGTGTAATGAACTCTTCATCTTCTTCCTCAAACACACAAATGTTCAACACTTTGTCTCAAAACACAAGTGAAATGCACCAAGTTTTTACCAAACAATCAGAGGATTACAACCCAACAGATAATGGTCTCATTAATGGGTGTCCAAATATGAGTTCATCAGCTAATACTAAAGCAATCAATTTCAATCAGGCATTAATGCAAACAGGTGGCATGCAAACTCAAGCTGTTTCGTTCAACTATGATAATAGTCTGACCAGAGATTTTCTGGGCATGGGAAATGAAGGGGGTCGTCCATTTTTGCCGCAAGAGCTGGCTAAGTTTGCTTCAATGACTTCAGCTATGGGATTAAGCCATTACAGTAGCGGTCACTAGCAATATGTCTTTTCACTTATCTTTTTTTTTTTTTGCATCAGAAAATACAATAATGTAAAATGTGAACCTTATCTTCAAGCTGGCTGGCTCATCGTTTTTTTTTTTTTTTTAGCATTAATTTGGATATGTTTCCTCTTGAAGATAAAACGCTTCCCCCACTCCCCCACTACCCCCAACCCCAACCTAAAAAAAAAAGGAAAAAAGAATATAACTTAGTAGTCTAGCATATTCAGAATTTAAATTTAGTTTTAGCATAGTACTATTCTTTTGTTTTCTTGTGACATTATAAATTTACTATAAATATTTTTTAACTTATAATAGTTGAGTTTGAAACAATAGTTATAGACATATTACCAATCAGGATTGCGGTGGAGCGGTAAATACTACTTCATCCTTAATCAGAGCTATCGGGTTCGAGTTTTAGGTATGGAGTCACCTTTGTTAGGTAGCGCTATATAAAATTTTCTGTCGTGAATCTGAATTTAGCCAGGCCTCAATATACGCAAGTATCGGGCACTGAGAAGGAAACCTAAAAGAAACAGTTATAGACATATTGACTGCATACTTTAATCTAACCTCTAATTTTGGAGGAACGTAAACTAATTTTCTTTTCCATTTAAGGGATGGAAATAGTGCAGGCTATGCTAATCCTCCCAATATATATCTCTAAAAGTTACTATGAAAAAAATGGGGAAACACCATTTTTCGCGTGCCGTCGAAATTATTTATATCCAATAATCATAAAAGTGTATAAATTTATATATAACATAATATATATATATATATATATATATATATATATATATATATATATATATATATATATATATATATATATATATATATAGGTTATTATATCGAAAGCGGCTATATATAATCGTTTTCCAAAACAAAAAAAATCAAGTAAACAAAGATGAAACTGATGAGAATTGAATTAATGTTAGACATTAAAAAATTTTCTAAGAAGATTCAAATTTAGTTATATGTAAAATAATAATGGTAGACACATATACACTATTTTTTGGCGAAAAATATTCAATTAACTACACTCTCCTGATTTGAATCCTAAAATAAGCTGCCTGACCTACTATGCGATAAACCAAGTTAGGTCTTATTAGTGCCAGAAGCTTGAACGTATGTATTGCTAAAAAGTTATTATTCAACCATAATATAAGAAGCTCTTTTTTTTTGTTGAAAAATAGTATTTAGAATTTGAATTATATTTATATATGCATAACACTTGAAAAAATATGCTGTTGTGTGAGTGGGGAAAGTTTTCGAAAAATTCATTTTTGAAAAATTTCCAAAAGCTTACAAAATCTCATGAACAAACATATTTTTAAAAGAAAAATAATCAAAGAATAGAAAAAAAAAAAATCTACAGACAAACGGGTCCTAAAACTATTTAATGTCCTCTTGCAACCAACTAGTTTAATTATTGGAGTATTTAAGATTGTTCATTCTCTATTATATTAGAGAAAAGCAGAATAAATCTTAACTACTCATTCTTAGGCCTAATTTCCCCTTGCATAAGAATAATATAATATTAAATTTCGGACAAATTCAAGATTGTGGGGTCTAGCAAATTAACGTGGGACCTTTATGTCGAGAGTTGGTGACAAAAAAGTAGCCATGCATATTCTTTATTTTACTACGTGTTGGTTACTCTAATTTTATCTTTCAAGTCTATGCAAAGACCCTAAATATTTTATTTATGTATTTATTTTTCCTACGAACTTAGTCCTTTCTTATTAGATAGGAAAGGACATAATTGTAGCCTTTTTATTTAGAAAAAATAGGGCACAAAAAACCATGAATATAAGTGTTGACTAGTTGTCAAAATGATTAATGAAGTAGTCAACGTTGGTGGGTTTTACACTTTTACAGAAAACTTTTTGATTATTTGATTTGATTAGTCTTTTAGCTGCAGCTCGTCACTTGCCATAGGCACCTAGTTTGTTTCTTTTTCTTTTTTATTTTCTTTGTATAATTTCCTTTGTGTCCATGCCATCTTCCCGCGATCGATTCCTCATCGCCTAAAATTTGGTGGGTCCATAAAAAAATATCTAATAAACCATAGTTACTGCTTCTCATTTTTTGGCATGTAGAATCATAAGACAAGAATTCATTATTTGATTCAAAATTAAGATGTTTTAGGATTATAATTTTGAGATAAAATAATATTAAATTTAATTAATATTTTCAAATAAACATAAGATAAATTTAATGTTAGATTGCATTGGGATAATCCACCTAATCCCTTAAACCAAATAGCTCCTCAAAGAGTTATGGTATTAGTTATTTTTTCTTCTTGGAAAATTGAGACCTCAAGCATATTCATTCATATCTTATTCTCCAGAGACGAATATTAAAATAATCAAAAAAATTATTTTCGTAGATAAAGATAACTAACTTCAATTATCAGAATAATATTTATCACATCATTCATGGAATTTCTAGAGAATAATTTCAAAAATAAATTAATGCAACCTTTGCTGAATATACTGCCTGCTTCACCATTGCAGTAACTTTGTTCAAATTATTTGTAGTTGCATAAATAAAGAAAAGGTTGCTTTAAAAATACTCTAGCATAATAAATATCGATCATTTTGCGTCAAAAAATTATACTGCATATATAGATAAAATATTAAGTATATTTTAGAGATATATAATATATATTATCAGGGAAAAAATTTCAATGAGATCAGTACTTTTGTAACTATTAATTATCAAATCAATTGACTCATGAGTGAGTCTAACCAAAGAAGATTAAAGAAAAATCTACCAAAAGGTGGTCTAAATCTTGACTAAAGTTTTACTTAAGTAAGAAAACTGTGGTAACCACTGACCACCTTAGGTTTAATTGGAACTAAGGCAGAATATTAGGTAATAATCCTCGGAAACTGCATGGTACTTTTTTCCATTTTTTCAAGTTTAAGATAGACCATTATATATCATGTCGCGATAAAGATTGGTTCAACAAGTTAAAAGTTCGCTCCTCTCTTAGTTAAGGAAAGAAATAGAGAATTCATGTACTTCATTATTTCCTGCGAATCTATTATATCATTAGTTTTTCTTTGATTGTGATTATTCATGTGACGTTACTATACCGCTAAGAAAACTTTTGATTTTTTTTTTAGTTTATTATGTATATGTAACCATCCATAAAATTGGAGTTAATTAATAACCTAAGATATAAAATATATTACATAAAACATTTTTTACACTCAAAAAGGACATAGACCATTAGTAAATGGGTTGCAATCTAAACCACTGCTCGAGTTTGAAACTACACTAGAATCCTGGAACAGTTTTTAGTTTTTCAAGGTATAACTTTTTTCCTCTAGGCTTGAGAAATGAGAAGATCTACTTAGTGTAGGTTATTTTAATAATTATCCCTTTAATTGAAGCTTTATAGTTGATCCAGAAAATATAAGAATTGGTTCTTTATAGGAGTTTGAAGGTCAACGGTAAAAGATTAATATTCTTCTTTTTCTCTTCCTAGAGAGTACAAAAGGGCCAACTTTCTTGAAAATGTACTATAGAAGAGATGACATTTTCTCGTAGGTTTAAGTAGGAATCCAAAGAGTACTTACATTTTCATTCGATCAATCGTCCAAATAATAATTACTACCTTCTAGTTTGACTCAATACGAATTTTAAGGAAAAAAAAAAAAGGCAGAATACATAGACAGACACTTAAACTATCAAAGAAAGTTCACTTGAACACCTCAACTAAGCCATTTTCCACTGAAACACTTTTACTATACTTTGACTGCACCAGTTTAGCACAAAACACTGACATGGCAAAAAGATTGTAGTTCACGACTCTTAGGCGCGTGATTGGATCTGATTTAATATTTTCCTTTTCTTTTTATCTGATTTAATATTTTCCTTTTCTTTTTATATTTTTCTCCCCAGAAGTTCATCATCACCCTCTCTCTCCTCCTCCACTATTCCGCTTCCTCCTCCATTGTCATGGACAAAAATAAGAGGAAAACCTTCCAAATATTGTAGGAATTTCGCTGGTACATAAAAAGAGAAAATTGTTGGCCCCTCCATTTATGTTGCTCTGTTCGATGATAAATTTGGGTAATATCAATTTGAAATTCTTGTTACCCGGTTCTTCAAAAATTCGAAGCTTTAAGAAAAATTAAAATTTTCATATTATTGCTGACAATATCACTTGATTTGTTTGTGGTTATTGGAATTTCATATAACTTGATTTGTTCTTGAATATACCAGCGAAAGAAGAACCTTGTGACGACCCGGCCCGTCGTCACGTGAGTTACCGCCCCGTTTCCCCCATATTATGTCCCTCCATGATTTAATATCAGTAATTGAGTTGATCGGGTAGAATTGCATTGGTTCTAGTTGGAAATATGGCAATTAGCCTTTTTGAAGGAAGCTTGCTTTGGAAAAAGTCAACCGGAAGTTGACTATGTAGTTAGAGGGCTCGGATGTGAGTTCCGGTGGTTCGGGTAGCTTCGGGGGATGATTTGTGATTTAGGAGTGAAGTCGGAATTGAATTTGGAGGTCCGGTGTAGAATTATGCTTGAATTGGCTAAGGTTGGATTTTGGCGAATTCCGGATGGTAGGTGAGATTTGATCCGAGGGTCGGAATAGAATTCCGAGAGTTGCAGTAGCTCCGTTAGGTGATTTTGGATATGCGTGCAAAGTTTCAGATCATTCGGAGGTGTTTAGGTCGGGTTTTAGATCAAATGCAAGTTTCGAAAGTTTTAGTTTAACTTAGGCTTGAATCCGTGGTAATTCGATGATTTTGGTGTTTATGATAGTGTTTTTATGTTACGAGCAAGTTTGAATGAAGTAATAGAACATATCTGTGCATTTGGTTGAGGTCCCGAGGGCCTCGGGGTGATTTCGGATGGCTAACGGGGAGTTTTGAACATGAAAAAGTGCAGCAGAAATTGCAGAGGAATTTTCCTCTATGCGATCGCGTAGGTATGCCTGCGATCGCATAGAAGGTTCAGAGGGGGATGAAGATTTGCTCTATACGATCGAGTATAGGGGTCTGCGATCGCATAGGTTGAGGAGATTGGGCAGTGCGGTCGCGTGGGAAGTAATGCGATCGCGTAGAAGGGG